GATCGGCGAGGGAGGTTAATCGTCCTTTGAGGGTGTCCTCCTCTCTTCTTTTGTGGGCGACTCTGCAGCCTCGGGCACAGTAAATCTGGAGGACTAACCCTTGAGGCCACCCTCCGAGCTTCCAGCTGAACAAGAACGTCTCTCCTGAGCCTCCTGCATGTTTACCTTGGCCGAAGCTCTTCCCTTGCAGCATCGTCTTGCTTTTATCCATCTCTCCGCGGGTCTTTGTGGGCAACAGGTACCCTCCTGAGGGACCGAAATGTTTGTCTTTCTCACGGCTTTGGCTACAGCTCAGGTCTCCAAGAGAAGTGACTCTTGGCCCTTAACAAGCCGCCTGAGCCGCTGACACAGCCTCAGCCCTGGAGGAGAGAGGGTGCGAAAGCCTCTGCTAATTAGTGTCACGGACTTCAACAACCTGCCACAGCACCCTCGATGGACAGAAGATCCAAACAAGCACAAGTTCTTCTTCACACGCCCCTCTGGAAAACGAGGAGGACGTGAGAAGGTGAATCCTAAGGGCAATTTCCTCCAAGTGCCTTAAACGCCTGTCGTGAGCAGCTGAGGCTGCCGTAATCCACTCGGGATGGACGCTGGGATTGCAGGAGATGAAGGGTGACACAAAGCTTCTGGGCTGCTGATGGTTAAGGACTAGGAGGTCTCTGCGGGACCCACCTGTCAGAACAGGACTGATAGAGACAAACCTGTTTAAACCTTTTACCTACACTCCAGCTCTTCCCACAAATATCACAGCTGCCCGTGTTTGGGTCCTTTTTGTAGAGCTCCAGGTCCTTCTGTTGCAAGACCCGTGCTCTGCACACAGGGAAGGCTACAACTCCGTGAAAGGAGGGTGTAGCGAGGTGGGGTCGGTTTCTTCTCCCAACGAACAAGCGACAGGACAAGAGGAAACGGCCTCAGGTTGTGCCAGGGGAGATTTAGACTGGACACTAGGAAAAATTCTCCATGGAAAGGGTTGTCCAACACTGGCACAGGCTGCCCAGGGCAGTGGTGGAGTCCCCATCCCTGGAGGGATTTCAAAACTGTGTAGACGTGGTGCTCAGGGACACGGTTTAGGGGTGGGCTTTGCCGTGCTGCGTTAACAGTTGGACTTGATATTAAAGATCTTTTCCAACCCATATGATTCCATGATTCTAAGACAATATCCAATGACACATGGCCAGACATGCGGGAGGGATGGACAAGCATATCTTCTGTCTACATCTGCCACCTTAAACCAAGATTTTCTTGGTTAAACGCAAGTTTTTCATGGTTAAAACCAAGCTTTTTCTGGTTAAAACCAAGCTTATCTTTGATGGGACTTTGATGATCATATTCCAACCTCCCACTAGACCATGTTGCTCAAAGCCTCGTCTAACCTCAGACTGAAAACCTTCGGTGCCTGGTTCCGGCTTCTCCAAGGAGATCATTCAAAAGCCAGGCAGAATCTGCACTTAAAGACACTTAAGGACACTTAAAGACACTTAAACAAAGACTGAAATTCGCTGTTTTCTACTGAAATTCTCTGTTTTTCCCCTGAAATCTGCTGGTTTTCCTCTCAAATTCGCTTTTACACTGAAATTCTCTGGTTTTCCCCTGAAATTCACTGTTTTTCCCCTTAAATTCGCTGAGACTTGCTCAGGAAAGGTTTATTGCCCTTTGATGATAAGGGGGCGAAATAAAAAAAGAATAAATAAAAAATAAAAATAAAAGAGGTTGTAAGGCAGGTTTTCAGCCATAAACGGGGAGATGCTGGTGGCTGTGGAGGAACTATCGTATTGATTCCTGGTCTCCTTTTGTGATCAATAAAGGTGTGTTTCTATTTTTGTTTTTAAGTTTTATTCAGATGAAGGGTGCCATTCCAAAGGCTGAAGCTTGAAGCTCACCTGGCTTTCTCCCCTCACTGTGTTTTCGTTGGGGTCAGGCAGCACGAGCCGGGATCCTTTAGGATGAACACAAATGGAGAATGGGCTTGAGGAGGGACCCTATCCCAGTTTAACCTCCAGAAAGCATTCAGAATAAATTTATTCAGACCAGAATACCTTTAATCCAGAGAAAACTGGTCTGAAACACTTATATCGTAGACAGCAGGTCCATAGGACCAGTTCTTGTGATGTTCAGAGCTGCTCCTGTTGCACCACATCCACCCCAACATCTGCCCTAGGGTGTGGTAGAACATTCCCTTATAGCCTCTTATTCCAGAGGGGACCTAGCTGACCACTGCAGAATTAGATAATTTATTTTTCTAGATGTTGAGAGCCAGGTGAACCCATTCCCACCCTTTATTTTCCAGTCCCAGATTCATAGTGGTAGGAAAAGGACATTTGCAAAACCCAGTGAGCCCCGGAGGATGTTCTCAAAAATTTTTAAAAAAAAGACACAAGCAATTTATCACAATTAATGACCAAAAAAAATGCAGGGCGGGAGGTGTCCTTGAGGAGGTCCAAAGGTGAGAAGAAAGGGAATGAGCTTCCCCGGCTCTTTCTGCTACAGGGTCAGAAGGAGGCAGGGGCAAACCACCTCGTTAGTGAGAACCACGTTATTGGCACAGATGGTGAAGACAAGGATGTCCCTGTCTTTGGCCAAGCTCCTTATGGCACAAACACCCCACCTGGCAGGCCCGAGCTCCAGGCTCTCACCACGCAGGTGGCTGCAGCTATTTCCCTCCCAAGGGATGCTGCACCTTTGCCCCGAGCACGAAATGGTCCTTAAGGACCCACCATCCCCCCTGGAGTCATCAGCTTAACAAGACCTTCTGGGCTTTACCAAGGAAGTTTCCTAATCGCCGTGAAACCTTCTCAACGGGCTTGTAATCAACGTACCTCCTTCTCCTTAACAAGCCACCAGAGACTAATTAGCAGAGGGTAACGAGAAAGAAACTTTCTTCCTTGTTAACAACAAAGTGCACTTCTACAACTTCCACGCTTGTCCAAACTAGTCCGGGCCCCGAAGCCAATGAATCACAGAATCATTGAGGCTGGAAGAGACCTCCAACATCATCGAGTCCAGCCTATGGTCATGGTCATGGTCATAAACCAGTCATGGTTTATTTTAGAGGATAAATCAAAAAAGCAAAATGAAGCAACCTAAGCAAACGCAGTTTAATGATAACGCCAAAATAAGATCCAAACGCCAGGATGGAGAGTAGGTACCTGCACATGGCGCTCAGGTGGGACAGGCATGAGGAGAATCGTAGAAACTGGTTGGAAAAAATCTTGCAGATCGTCGAGTCCAACCATTAACCCAGCACTGCCAGGTCCACCTCATCTGAATTATGGATTTTTGGGTAAAAGCTATTTCCACCTTCTCGCCTTCGAGTGGTGTTTTTGAAGGGCACCAACAGCATGCTGAGCTGAAGCTTCCCCCTCATCGGTTAGGCTTTATTTAATTTAAATTATTTATTTTATTATTCGTTTAAATCAATTTATTAACTCAGGTATGTAAATTCAGTTAATATATGCTTAAATTACCTGTCCAGACCACGTCCTGAGCGGGACAGCTCTGAAGACAACCCTCCCTTGCCGCGTAGCCGTGTGGGCCCATCACCCTCGGCTGCTGAGCAGCGAGCAGAGAAAACCATCCAGGGTTTTTTTTTCCGTTAAAATTCACCTCGCCCTGATGTGAGTGTTTAAAATAGACCAGATGATTCAAAGGCCCCGGACACATGGTTGTCTCCAGAAGGGGAACCCCCCGGTGACTCACTGAGACGTGAAAACCTACAGTTGAATGATGGGATGACTCCCAGAAAGGACGAATCCTTGACTCAGCTGACTCAACCCCTGAAACCTGGAAGAAGAAATTATGAATAAGCTGCAGCTGGGGTGGAAAATGAAGAAGAGGAGTTGTAGGGGGAGAGTCTGGCCAACATTGAGAGTCTTGAAGCTGTCAAGCGAGTCTCATGCGCCTGAACACAAGCTATGGCCCGAAGCATGAAGACTTTCTGCGTGGTCAACACCAGACTTTCTGTGGTCAACACCAGGTGATGTCCTGGGAAAAGCCAGGACTGGTCAATGTCTTGCAAACCTTTTCCTGGCCAAGTTGAGTGATTGCTCGTCATGGGGCGGTAAAACTCCACCCTGTTGTGAGGCCAAGGAGCACGTCAGCGTGGTGGTTCTGGGCTGGTCGGTGTCCATGGGGGACACACATCCAGGAGAGCCCAGGTGGTCAACGGAAGAGTGACTGAAGGAGCTGGGACTGTTGAGTTTGAAGAAGAGGAGGCTGAGGGGAGACCTCCTCACTCTCTGACGGTGTGGAGAGGTTGGGGCTGGGCTCTTCTCACGGGTGATTGGTGATAGAACAAGAGGGAACAGCTTCAAACTGCAACAGGGCAGGGTGAGACTGGATATTAGGAATATTTTTTTCCCAGCAAGAGCAGTCAGAGATTGGCACAGGCTGCCCAGGGAGGGGGTTGAGTCCCCGTCCCTGGAGGTGTTTAAAGGCCGTTCAGATGTGGTGCTGGGGGAGATGGGTTAGGGGTGAGCTCTGTAGAGCAGGGTCAGTGGTTGGACTCGAAGATCCTAAGGATCTTTCCCAACCTGAGCAGTTCTATGATTCTATGAAAATAATGACTCAGATTTATTGTACTGGAGCAAAACCTTAGGGAACTGCTTAGATTTATGTCCCTCTCCAACACGCAGTCTTTATTTAACTCATCCCCTTCTGCTCTGAGCCAACTTTTTCAGGCCACAAAACAATATTCTTTAACACTGAGTAAATTCTCTTTGGTAAAAAGTATCGGCTGTACATGTTCTAGAGCTGCTGACAACTCCATTCACAATGTACATGGGTTTAGGTTTGCCTGACCTTCCTGCTTTCTTTCCTTCTTCCAGACAAGGAATTTTTTTTTTCAAGGGCCCCCGACACAGAATCAATTCATAATTCAAACCCTGCAGTGCTCAGCACAAGGCAGAACATGTACATCTCACTGGACACACTGAAACGTCCAAGTGTCAACCTTATTTCTTCTGCTGGCTCCGCTGTGGCAGGTGGCATCGGCTTAGCTTTGGTTAAAGCGGGACCTGTGGGAATACACGGAGGAGAGGACCTTGTTCTTTGAGGATGCTCCTCACCCCCTTGTTCCTCAGGCTGTAGGTGAAAGGGTTGACCATGGGTGTCACCGCGGTGTAGAAGATGGAGGTCGTTTTCCCTTGGTCTTCTGGGTGTCTGGAAAAGGGATGGAAATACAAGAAAGCTGCGGAGCCATAGAAGAGGGCAACGGCCACGAAGTGGGAGGTGCAGGTGGAGAAGGCTTTGCGCCTGCCCCTCGCAGAGCTGACGCTCCAGATGATGAGCAGGATGCAGGCGTAGGAGACCAGGATGGCCAAGAGGGAGGTCGTTGAGGCTGGTGTCAGAGCACGAGAGGAGCAGGAGAGGGGGGATTTCGCAGTAGAAATGATTGATGAGGTTTGGGCCACAGAAGGAGAGGTGGAGGAGAGAGCTGGTGTGCACGAGGGCGTTCAGGCTCCCCACAGCATAGGAACCCACCACCAGTTGGACACAGGTCCCGTGGGACATGGTGGTCCAGTAGCGCAGAGGCTCACGGATGGCCACGTAGCGATCGTAGGCCGTGGCGGCCAGGAGGACGGCTTCCATGGTGCCAAAGACGGCAAAGAAGAAGAACTGCATGAGGCAGCCATTGAAAGAAATGATGTTTCTCCCCGCCAGGAGATCCAACAGGATCTTTGGCACGATGGACGTGGAAGAGCAGATGTCCAGGAAAGAGAGGTGGCTGAGGAAGAAGTACATAGGCACATGAAGCCGAGAGTTGGTCTTGATGAGGATGATCATCCCCCGGTTCCCTGACAGCGTGGTGACGTAAGCGAATGAAAAAAACACAAAGAGCAGCTCGGGCAGGTCAGTGAAGCCCAAGAGGACAAACTCCGCCACTCTTGAGTGGTTTCCCCCAGCCATCCTCCTGGCACCAGCACCAAGGAGACAAAGAATCACGGGGAAGAGGCGAAATAATTCCTCCAAGCTCATGGGAACACCCAAGGCTGACACAGGATTTGGGATGTCCTGGATAAAGGCACTCACTTGGAAAAAAGATGTGATCGTTAGCCTCAGTGGGTGGGCTGAAGATCCAAAATAATCTATTGAAAAATAATCTATCAACAGAATAATGGCTAATAGTTCATATATGGAAAAAAAATTTAAAAATCTTAAAGCTTTGGCTTACTCATCCTGGAAAGAATTATTCTTGCAAATGCTGTCTTCTCACAAACGTCCAAATTCTGTCTACTCCGTGACCATGGTTGTTCTTATTTAGAACAACCCCTCTGTGAGGGGTTGCTCTTATTTAGAAGGAAGAAAATACAATAATACCGTGCCTTAATTGGCCACATTAATTAGCGTTGCATTAAATAGCAAACGAAGCACGCTGGAGCGATTTTCTGACGCTCTAGTGACAAGTTTGGGTCAATTGAAGTGAGAGCAGCATACCTGATTGCAGTTCCATGTCTGCGTAGCTTTGAGGGAAAAACCACCTGGTTCTAACCTGAGTTAGACTCACTCATCATCTTCCTCATGCCTGATAAAAAACAGGAGTTTTTATCCAAAAAATGAGTAAGGAGTTAAGATTCAGTATGAATTGGAAGCTCCTTCCTTTTCGGAAGCTCCTTCCAAAACCAGGAGGGTTTCCCTCTGGCAGCCTCAGACGTGGCTGGAGGGTTTTAATTAAGTTCTGCCCCACGCCCAGGGGACAAATTACTGAAGGAGCACCCAACGGGAGAGTGAACCTTCCCTGGAGAGCCTGGGAGAAACATCAAGGTTTGTCTCCAAGGCTTTAGGGATGGGGTCTCCAAGGCAAGTCTGAGACTCTGAGTAATGGATGAATCTAAGGAAATCATTGTTTTCCATTTGCAATGATCGGTTAGATTCAATTTTTGAATTTTTTTCCATTTAGGAAAAACTATCAGTTAGATTAAACTAAAAAAGGGTAGATTTAGACTAGATGTTAGGAAGAAATTCTTCTCTGTGAGGGTGGTGAGGCTCTGGAAAGGGCTGCCCAAAGAAGTTGTGGATGCCCCATCCCTGGAAGTGTCCAAGGCCAGGCTGGATGGAACATCGAGCAACCTGGTCTGGTGGAAGGTGTCTCTGTCCATGGCAGGGGGTTGGAACAAGATTTTCAAGGTCCCTTCCAACCCAAACCATTCTGCAATTCTATGATGATTTCATGATTCATTTCCTTTTTCACCTTGGGTGGTGGTAATGTGGCTGAGCATGGACATCCCAAGCACACTCATCACACCAAACAACATCCAAACCAGCCCTTCACAGGTTGCTCTCATGGAAAACATCACCCGTCCCATCTCAAACATCCACGTTTCACCGCACACCTCAACGTCCCTTTCCCTGAAGTCTCTGCCTTGGACACATGTGCCAACGTTGCAGGTATCTAAAGCCATCTGAGATTTGTCCTGCCCCATCCTTCTCTGGCCTTGCTCAACCCAACTTTCCCCTTCTTGCTTTCTTAAGAAATTGGGAAAATGCAGATTTCTGTTTCTTGAGTTCAAAAAGAGCCTTGAATGGTGGTAAAAACAGACACAGAACTGACCCATGTTTGGATAGGATCTCCTTGCATTTTCCACCAGAACCCCAGGAGGAGTTTTTTCGCTCGGGGACAGTAACTGTGTCTAAAATGAGTCATTATAATATTTCCTAGTTCTCTTGTGAAAATGAGAGATGCCTCGGCCACCGAATTTGAAAGGAGCAAAGCCAAACCGAGCCTCTGCCTCTCGTTCCTGTACTAAGGGCAACAAAAGGGACCTGGGTTCCCAGTCAGCCTGGAGAGAAGAAGGTTGTGCTCCCAGTTCCTCGTTCTCCCCGTATCTCTGGATGGCACGTGATGGAGAGGAGCCACCACCCCAGCGCAGGATTTATGCATTGGTAAGACAAAGTCTTCGACTCCTTTTAAATCAAAGGGAAAATAAAACTCATTTCTCTCTTTGTGCTTTTTTCACCCACCAGCTAGAGAAGATCTCTAGAACTGGATCCATCTCACCCTCTTAGATTCAGCTCATAGCAAGACCCAAATCTGGATGCTTGCTGTTACCTGTTTGTGAGCTGAGGTCTCCTCACAGCTCACACAACTCTGGACGATGCCACCAGTAGAGTTTCTTGATCTCTCCAGCTGAGAAAATGTAGGTGTCCACCTTGCGCCAGACCCCATGGATGGACTTGACCAAATCCTCCCTGGTCGTGAAGGGACAGCACGTACCCAGTCACCTCGTAGAATTGTAGAGTGGTTTAGGTTGGAAAAGACCTTAAAGATCATCCAGTTCCAACCCCATTGTTGTGTTTTACCCATGGCCAAGGAATGGCTGTGGGTCACCGAAGCGAGAAGAGATGCTCTGGGACTTCAAATAAAACAGTAAAAATCATCTTGAGTCTTTTCTTTAAAGGAAGAAAAAAGTGGAAACTTCCTTGCACGTACGTCCAACAGCATCCTGAGGGTGATGGTCATGGAGGAGCAGAGGTGTGGGAGCGCGGCAGGAGTCGTACAAAGAGGTCCCAGCTCAGTGGGTCCCGTTGAAGACGTCTGGAGAGATGTGAGAGGAGTTCTGCTCCCCAGGGCTGAGCACTGGGGCCAGTCCTACGTAATATCTCCATCAACAATCCGGACGAGGGGATTGAGTGCACCCTCAGTTTGCAAATTGGGTCGGGGTGTTGATCTGCTTGTGGATGAGAAGAATCTGAACAGGGTGGATCGATGGGTCCTAAACGTTCTTGACAAGAAAGTTTCTGGTCCTCATCCAGGAGACCTTTGCGGTCAATGGGGAGAGGAAACCTCCCGAGAGTCCTCTCCAGCAGGGATCTCCAGACCTGCCTTCTCAGCGGTTGTGTGCTGAGGACACCCAACAGCCAACGCCCTGCTTTTGGTGGAAACTCCAAAAAGTCTGGTCCAGAAGCCCAGGACCCTGCAGGCCGGCCATGAGATGAAGACAGGAGTCATTTCTTTTTTCGCAAGGAGATGAGTGGCTCAGCACCTGCTGTCCTTCCTCGTGGGGCTGGTACTTGGAGCTCAGCTTGGGCTGAAAGACCACAACTCTCACTTGGATCTCAATCCTCTCTGCTTTCATCCTGATTCTATGATTCTATGATGCTCCCAGAGGTGGATGTGAAGACATCCTTGCCTAAAGCTCAGCAGGGCAGCTTGAAAATAAACTAACGTCAGCAAACACCCTCTACTACTTCACATAATCAAAAGATTTGGGGGCTGAGGGTCTCTTTGAGCCTCAGGAGAGTGACAAAGCCCAAAGCAGCTCTTCACCTTCTCTCTGCACCTCTTAGTTTGGAGAAGCAGCCTACCTGAATGAGCAACGGGGCTTTGGGCTCCAGTCTCACAGCTGCTTTTTGAGCATCTCAGCTCCACGAGTCCGTGTTGGACACGACCACGCCAGGGAGCCGAGGAGAACCTCACCGGCAGGGCACAGTCCCACGGGGGTTGAGCCAGGGCTGGTAACAGGGTCCATCAGTGGTCCCAGGCACCGTGGATGATCTCGAGTTCCTTGTTTTGCAAACCACAGCTCACAAGTTTGGCGGCCAGAAGCCAGCAGAAGATAGCAGTGACCTTGCTACAGCCAAGATAGATGTCACCCACCGCTCTCCTTTTCATCCATGCAGCCATCAGCCACCTCAACCCAAGTTGGTCAAGCACGATTTGCCCTCGGTACATCCGCGCTGGGTGCTTGTGGCCACTTTCCCATTCTTCTTCTGCCTGGAGAGGGATTTCCTTCTTAGTCCTGCTGGGGACCAAGGCAGCCCTCCACCCCGGCGACAGCATCCCCCTGCTTCCACCCACCACGCCGGGAAAAACGAGATCCTGAGGGAGAGGTGCCCAAAACTGGAAGGGAGGTGATGGGAGGGATCGGATGAGGAACGTGACAATGGACTGAAAGGGGCGTTGGCCATTCGTCCCCCAGCGGAGTGCCCACGGGCAGCAGGACCTGCAGTGGGACAAGTTGAGGGGACGTGTTTTACAGAGTGGGCACCAGCTCGGAGGCAGCCAGCCCCGACCCACAGCCCAGGCTGGGACCACCCTGAGCCAACCCCCAGGAGAAAGGGCAACCCGGTTCTTGGCACCAGAATTTGGCCAGAGTTGGGCTCTGCCTTGCGGGGTCGGGTTAGACATCACTTTGGGTGTCAAGAAACGGTGTTTTACAGCCAGAAGGGAAGGAAACCCCCATGATCTGGGCAGCGTTTGGGGTGCAAATCCTGGTGCAATTCCTGTCTGCGGCTGCATCCTTGCCTTTCCTTTGTGTCTCCAGTAGAAAAATCCTGTGCGACGCCACGGATGAGCCCCGGCAGCTCCGCTCCTGCCCGAGGCTGAGTCTCCTCCATCCTCCTCCTCCTCATCCCGGCTGTCAGCGCTGC